GAACCTTGGCGATTAAGCATTGAAGGATTCATTCGATGCCTTCAGAGAGGACGTGCGAGAATACGCGGGAGTATTTCGGCGGACACGTCCAGTGTTTTCCACTTTGAAGCTTTTTAACACGAAAAGTCAAAAAAGCTTCAGAGGTCCTCCTCTAGCCGGATATTCAATGGGTCGTACGGATCTAAAGATCTCCTACGTAACTCATCGGTTACAGCTCAGTAAGCGGCCAACGAACAGCGTTTCTTCTAGGATGTTCTCTCGAGCAAATTGATTCCTCGATAAGCAGCAAACTTCGAGTTCTACCTACATACACCTGCACCTGTGATCTCTTTTTTCATAAGAATTGGAAATTTGTTCAATGGGCTGTTCTCACGGGAAACGATCAACTTTTTCTGAAAGCCTCGGAATGTTGCGGCACCACTGATATTCTAATTGAGGCTTACAGGAAAATGCCCTATTTTAATGCTTTCTCGGCTTTGATAACCTTGTGAAATTGACATTGAGGAGAAGGAAACAAGCAGCATAGAACAACTAAGTTCGCATATGTCTGAAAGGCTGCTTTTTCGGATGGAATGCCATTTCATCTTTTTTCCCCCTGATGGACGTGCTAAGGCAAATAGCGGAACAAAAAAGCAAAAAAAAATTAGCACAATTAAAGGTCAACAATACCGACCACTAATTTAGGCCCCACGTTGGAATATAAACAAGGAGGTCAGAAAATAACTGTCTTCCAAAATCACCTTCAAATGGGACAAACGAAAGGGCACGGGGGGGAGGTAACCACGAGCAGAATTCAAAGAACGCGTTGGTACCTTTAGCGTAACGAAATTAATTCTTTCCATCTCTAGGCTGGCAACTTTGTCTTGCTCTAAAACTGCCTTCCACCATCAGATGTCAGGTAGATAGCTAAAGTAGTACGGTTGCTCTGAAGCTCACGACAGTACGGCGCGTGTTTGTAAAATTGCCTGAATCAGGCGCTGCGAATTTTTTAGTCGTTACTGTGAGAGTTAGGTGACCGAATGAGTGCGTAGCTCGTATAATTTGCACGGGAAAATAACGTGCAGTTTCAGATTCGGGTCCTTCTAAGGGGTGAGTTTTGAAAGATGATTCGGAAAGATGATGTTCATGAAGATCCTCACTATTGTTCATTTTCCATGTACATACACCTAATGCGAAATATATAAAGGATAAAGCATTTGCCGTTGATCAATCCCTTTGGGATGCGGCACGCATTCTACTTCCATTTGTACATTCGCAGTGGCGTTTGAATGCGATGTGGCCTATACAATGACTTGCGGGGGCCAGCCGATGTTCAAGTCAGTGTTTTTATCCTCCCAGACAAGTCTGGTACCAATTAACCGACCGGAGGGATGGAAGGCTTGGTGCGGGCGATATCCGAATCTTAGGATTTGATTCCCCGCACGTACGATGGGGAGTGTGCCACTTGCCACAACGCCACTTCCGCCCATGGAATGGAAAATATAGAGAGATATAATATAGGAGAGCATCATCGTTTTCCATCAAGAAATTACTAAAAATCATATTCGTTGCAGGTGGTCAACCAGGCGCTACAAATGTTTGGTGGATACGGTTATCTGAAGGATTACCCTATACAACAGTACTTACGAGATCTCAGGGGTAACTTTCTTAAGATATTTTTCATAGTATTTCCTATATATTGTTACAGTCTGAGGTTGATGGTTACAATTCTTGTTTACTAAAGTATTGATCCATTTTCAGGTTCATCACATCTTGGAAGGCTCGAACGAAATAATGCGATTGATTGTTGGCCGTGATCTTCTTAACAATCAAACGTACGGTCCGATGTAAGAAAGGCTCCGCAGGACAAGACTGTCGATTATATTTTTATTCGCCCCCTCGCCCCGTTAACTTTTGTTACCTCATTCTCGAGTGATAACATCAATTGATTTTGGCTGCAAGACTCCTGTGAACCTCCTATTGATTATTTAGCATTTTTACGTGTTTTTTTTTTGCAAATTTCAACCATTTTTTCTATCATTTGTGCCTTGATCCTCTTGAGTAATTTTATGATAGGTTTTTCATGTTTTGATGTCATCATCGTTTGCTTTTCTTAGGCCGATTTTGGATAATACATAAAAAGATCTCACATAAAGAATTTCTTCGTGAAAGGAGCAAAGCTCTGCTCTGTGAAGATAGAAGCATTCCTTTCCATGCAGACAGTCATGAACCAGCTTGTCAAATTTTTTCCTTTTTTATAGTCATTCTTTTTCCGTTTGTCCTCTTTGTTTTGCGGTCACTCCTTTTGTCCTCAAGTCACTTATGAGCCTGGGAAGCTTATGAACCGTCTGAGAAATGCAGGAGCAAACAGACTCTTTTGTAAGAAGCCCTGTGCCTCCAAGCCAAAGTAATGTGCAATGAAGTGGGATAAGTCCGGGGTATTGACTTCTTTAGATTCAGTAGACAACAAAAATGACAAATATTTTCAGTTCACAATTCAGAAAATATCAGCAGCTGACTAAACCATATGTCAAAAAGCAGAACTGAGGAGCCGTAGGGAAAGCGGAGGGATGTGATATGTATTGCTCAGCAATGTGTCCTAGGCGGTAAGGTGGCCATGGTCAAGCTTCATAGAGTTACAATGGGGCGAAATGCTGGAACAGTAAGTGGCTTACCCGTCACGGGGATGAGATCCTAGTTCATACGCCGCCCTTTTCAACCTATTCTCCGTCTCTCCGGGGTCGACTTATTGGTATAAGACTCATCTGGGAATTAAAAACCCGCCTTGTGTAATACAACAACTGGCTCCTCACAATTCAATGTATAGGCCAGGTCAAATTTTACTACTTGTACCTTTCTACTTCTTCAACACTGTGGACGAAAGTAGAATGCGTGGCGCATACTAATAAAAGAAGGCGAGTTCTCTAATTTCTATTATCAAAATTGACAGCGCCAGTTTTTGTAGCTATCCGTAGTTTCGACCTCTTTCCACTACTGAAAGTCCTGTAGGGTCTACTAGCCATCCTAAGGATGGCGCCAATATCGCCCAGCAATTGTCATCAGGATGTTCGAGGAATGGAACGCTTCCACAATGAACTCTTGACCAACTTGCGGCCGTATGGGAGCACGTGGCAGAGCATGCTTTGCAGTCCGTAGTGTTCATACACCCCATCAAGAACCAGCTCCTCTCTTTTGAATGTCTACCATGAGTTGGAGTAGCCTCACCCATCGACCGCTTCAGACAGGGTATTTGCAGAAAATGTCTTTTCCAATCGCCCCATTGCGCTTTTCTATCAGTAACCCTCTGCACTATGCTGTGACATTTCCTTCTATGTGTGCGCCAAATTTCATCGAGCTAGGTTGGCTAGCAGGGCGAAACCATGCGACCTTAAAGGAATCTTCCACGGAAAAAGCTCCGCCCTCATCACCACAGAAATACCTTAAAGGAAT